TTTACACATAATACTAGTATATACATATATAGTTTACAAGAAAGTGCCTTAGATAAAAAAAAAAATTAAAAAATAGCCCGAAACGGAAAAAGCCCGTTAGGCCCGCGGGCCCGGCCCATTTAGTCCAGGACCATGTGGGCTTAGGACCGTCGTGGGCCGGTTCCACACATTGGGACCGTTTGGCCCGGGACCGTTTGGCTCGGGACCGCCTCAAGCTCAGGCCCGTTTGGCCTGGCCCGTTTAGGCCCGTTTGGCCCGGACCACAATACAGCATTAGTTCCATTTCTAAGGTGCAAAGACTACTGCGATTTGTAAGTTNGTTGTTTTGTACAGTTCAAGTTCTTAATTCCAACTGAAGGAGAGAAGTGGATAATGATTGGTCTTCGTGATGCTTGGAAGCCACAGAAGAGGAATATTAAGAAGAAATATTTTGATAAAAATGCTACTGTTGAACAAATACTACAAAATCGTCCCATTGAGATACCTGAAGTTCATTTCCGTCAATTGATTGAGTATTGGGATGACGAAGATGTCCAAGTAATATTAAACCGTGCATTTCTACATTTTCTACCTATTGTTGCAGTATATATTTTTTCCCTTTTTGATTTATTAATTAATATTCTTCTTTTGTTGTTAGGCTATGTGCCAATTGAATTCTGAAAATAGGAAAAAACAAAAGTGGAGGCATCGAATGGGACCTATTAATTTGCAAGAGTGCGTGTGGCATTGGTAATATTTAGTCGACACATTGTAATCTTACTTTTATTTTTTTTTGTACTTTGTCGGAACAAAGTGATATCTTTTTATATCTTCTTTGATGTAATTTGTAGCGCGCAACCAAAGAGAACAACGAGGAACCATCAAAGTGTGAAATGTTTATTACAACTCGTACAAAGAAAGGGAAGGAAGTTCATACAGATACTCAAGTTGCAATAGTAAGTCATACTGCAATTTAAGCCTTATTATTGTACTAGGGAATTTGCTAAGTTTAATACTAAAACTTTTAAAGTAACACCACAATCTCACAGAAAACTAAGTTTTTGTAGTCGTATAAGAATAAGTAGAGTCATTATGTGTCTCCTACGATATGTAAGAGTTCAACATTAGGTGTCTTCTATTTTTGCTTGGCCATTTGATTTACAAACTTTTGCGTCAAATAGAAGAAGGCATAACACATGATCCACACAAATTGAAGGAGTCCTTTTTACTCTTGCTTCATCACCGTTTCAAATCCAAAATGATGTTGTTATTACATAATAGAACAACAGTGGGCTAACCATCCTCTTGTTGAACACATCTTCCAACAAACAAAATTTCCATGCATATATACCTTTTTCCTCTTACACAAGGAATTAAAAGTGAGAGGGTACTGAGCATTGTCTGCAATTACTTTAATGAAATGAAAGGAGAATTCTTTAAAGCCTACAATGAGTATGACATNCTTTTTACTCTTGCTTCATCACCGTCAAATCCAAAATGATGTTGTTATTACATAATAGAACAGCAGTGGGCTAACCATCCTCTTGTTGAACACATCTTCCAACAAACAAAATTTCCATGCATATATACCTTTTTTCCTCTTACACAAGGAATTAAAAGTGAGAGGGTACTGAGCATTGTCTTCAATTACTTTAATGAAGTGAAAGGAGAATTCTTTAAAATCTACAATGAGTATGACATGAGGTTGGAGTGAAAATCTTTGTGACAACATAGACAAATCTCCTTTTTAAGCATGACTAAAAGCAAATAACTGGAATTATCACAAAATTCTTATAAGCAGAAGTGCATAATATATAATTCATATCTTACAGTGATTAAGATACGGCAACAACTTCTACTAAGATATCCTCTATTGGGAATAAAGGGTTCAACCTTGCTTAAATATCATGTGGCTGGAAAAGACACAGAAAGAATAAGATGTTAGAGGAGATGACATTTTGACTTAGGCATCAATAACATGATCCTTTTAATTTCTCACCTTTCTTTCTCTTCTTCTTTCGTTTTTGTATTGCATTTGTTCCAAGTCTTTTTTCTCTTGCATTTGTTCATTGTTGCAAGTTTCCTATAACCTAGGGAGGTGTCCTTTCAAAGTACTGCAATTACTATTATTTAGTGTTGCAACCGTTACACTCTTTTAGAAGGAAGAGAAATGATTGTTAGTTCCCTTGCTTATTTCTTGAGCTTGCACTTATGTCCTTAAGCTGAAAACTCCCTAAAGCATAATCATGCTCTATATTCAAAGCATCAAAGGTGTTTGAGCAGTTGATTTTCCTTGAATCCTCTCATAGTGCACCTGTAAAGATTTCTGCGATAATTTGATTTTCATGGTCTGGATTTTTCTTTTTGTTATGTGATGGATGAGATCGAGTTACCTCTATCCACTCTTGATCATTTAATTGATTCACAGCTTGAGAACCTGATTCTAACAGATGCGTGGCCTCATTCTCATGCACAACAGATTTGTGCACATCAGTAGCAGCTGCAACTCCAAAACTTGACACAACTGTAGCACCTTTTGTAGCACTAGGAATATTAGCTGATTTTTCACCCTTAGTTTTCTCAACTAGCTGCACCTCAAGACTCCTCTGCTCCCTGCTATATCATTTTCACGACCTGATGCAACAGTAGGAACAGCTCCCCTTGTACCATCATCAGCTTGGCCTGCAACATTATGTGTAATCCCAGAAGACTTAGGATTGACATGCACAAATCAGTTATGTTTGTTTGAAACTTCATATTAAATTGGTTACGATCCTTGTCGCTGAAAACTCTATTGACATTCTTGGCTAAATTTTGAGGTATGCTAAACTTTTTTTTTATCTAACTTGACTTGTTGAAAGTTATTTTAGTGTTCGTTCTATCTTGACTTGTAAGTGATGTGCAATAATATTTTTTTGACAGTCTGAACTTCAGAATCGTCAAATTTTCGGAGAAACAACAGATGATGCATTTAGGGCTGTATTTGGAAAGGAGCAGCCTGGTCGGGTTAGATGCTATGGTAGATCGGTGACGACAAGCTCTCTGAAAAAAGATGAAGAAATCAATAAGCTTAAACAAAAGCATGCCAATGAAATAACTTCTCTCAAGGAAGAAATAAAGGAAATGATGAGAGAAGAAATGCGATGTTTTTTTTGTCAATTTGTGAAAAACAACCCTGGACTAGATTTTCATGGTATACAAGGGTGTGTTGGATCTAATATTCCTTCACCAGTTGATGCAAGTAGTGCATGAGCTATGAGAGGCCAAAATCTACCACATTCTTCTGGCTCAACTCACGCCCCAAGTCTTGAAAAGGTACTTATATTTCCCAGTTCCAAAAACTACCTCAATCTTAACTTACAAAATCATGCTTTCTAACCAGTGTATACTATATATATGTTTCTTCCTAATTTTAAATTTTATTTTGATTGTGTAGGAAAATACGGGTGATGCAATTGGATATGGTGGTCACAAATCAATTTGATTTATTAAAGTGAATGGTGAAGACCTTTTGAACAATTGGGATGTTTATTTTTATTGATTCTATAAATATGAATACATTTGGTTTTGTAGAGGTCTTTGCTAGTGAACTCTTGAACCAACAGTGCTTTATTACTATAAACAGTACACAAAGTATGTTTCTTTGTTGAAATTTATTTTAAGTATATGCATTTGGATTATTTTTATTCTAGTACTTATTAT